AGGGAACAGGGGAGCAGTTTGGGCCCCGCAAGAGGGCCGCCTGCCCAGGCTGCACCTCATAGAGCTGCTCCCAGGGCAAGCCCCATCTGTACTTTCTTGTCGTCCTTTATTTTCCCACTGAAGACACACACCCCCACACACACTCATGGCAGAGAACAGCTGAGCCAGGAGGAGCTGAAGAAAACAGCTTTTTATTTGTTACTGTAAGAACCAATTACAGAATCGACATTTAAAAAATGGACAAAAGATCTTTATTTCTGAGAATTGGCGTACAAAAGGCGGAGGGGACAAGGGGGGGAGGAGAGAGTGAGCATGGGCTGGGTTTGATGCCAGCTTAGGAGCCTCAAACTGTTTAGCAAAGTCCGGACACCGGACAGGAAGAGAAACCCCCAATTAGGAAAAAGAAAAAAAAGAATAGACATGGCAGTGCACGCCCCCCTCCCCCAACCAGGTGTCTGTTTACTCTTCCCCTCCCCTGTCCCCTTTCACAAAGGGAGGCAAAATTTTTAAAAAATTAAAAAACCCTCCCCCTAAAACTGTCCAAGACAGCTGTGGGTCCTATCCCCCAAAGAGGCCAGGTTCCCACCATGGGTCAATTCCTGCAGTCCGCCTCCATCACCAGGCGCGGAGGAGCAAGGGAAGGAGACAAGCCTTGAAGTGGTAACACCAGAGGGCGCCCAACCCCTCCAAGGACACACACTTGCTCCCTCCTTCCCTCCCTCCCTCCCTCCCTATGACACTCAAGAAAAGGGAACTTGGGTGAACTGGGCACCCACCCTCCAGCTTCCAGCCCCCCGCCCTTCCCCAGAAGTTCAGTCCTCCAGGACAATGGGCTCATTGGTGCTGGCAGGATGTGAGGGTGCAGGCAGAGAGACAGGGGGCCTCACTGCCATCAGCGGTGGCTTCACCTTCAGGGGCAAGTTGGGCCTGCGGGCAGCTCGCCGCATCTCCAGGTGAGTCAGAGCTTTCCGAAGGGCCCTGGCCAGGAAGAGGAGAGGGGAATCCAGAAGCCTACGACCGACCCCCGCGCTGCCACCCCACACTCCACACGGCAATTCCTCCAGCCATTCCTGCCTGGCACCCCGAGCCTGCACCCACTCTCCCTGTTGCTGGCCGGGCTCAGACACTCCTATTTCCCATGCCACCAACCTGGGTTGCCAACATCTCAGCCCCCTCCCATGGTGGGCGCCCTACCTGGTATCTTTTGTGGCCACAAACACCACAGGATTGGGGGCGTCCGCTGGGTTTAGTTTCTGACGCTTGGCTGCTGGCTGGGAGCTTGAGCGAATCCCTGAAGCCAGGGGCCTGCCATTGGCAGAGAAGGGAACCCCTGCCATCTGGAAAAGGGTGGGCAGCACAGTGAGGCCTCTCTCAGCCCCGTCATAAACCAAAGCCCGCCCCCTCGGCGTGGCCCTCGCCAGCCTGTCACTCACAGCCTCATAGGCCCGTTTCACCATGATGCCCCCCAGGCCCCGGCTCTGGGTCAGCTGGTTTCTGTTGATGGGTGTCTTGGTACCCCGAGGTGTTTTTGGTTTCAGAGGTGCCTGGGCCACTTCAAAGTAAAAAACAAAAAAAACAAAAAAATAACATTCACACTTCCTTTTCTCTATGCAGTTTCCCTGGGCATCCCTAAGAGTAGTGATGGGGGAGGGGTCTGACCAGCAATTACCAGTATAGTTTTTTTGTTTGTTTGTTTTGTTTTTTTCTAAATATATTTTATTGATTTTCTTTTTTACAGAGAGGAAGGGAGAGGGATAGAGAGCTAGAAACATCGATGAGAGAGAAACATCATCGATCAGCTGCCTCCTGCACACCTCCTACTGGGGATGTGCCCGCAACCAAGGTACATGCCCTTGACCGGAATCGAACCCGGGACCCCTCAGTCCGCAGGCCGAAGCTCTATCCACTAAGCCAAACCGGCTAGGGCAATTACCAGTACAGTTGACCCTTAAACAATGTGGGGTTAGGGGCACTGACCCTCCACACAGTAAAAAAAATCCCCAGGTAGCTTTTCCTTAAAATATATTTTTATTGATTTCAGAGAGGAAGGGAGAGGGAGAAAGAGATAGAAACTTCAATGAGAGAGACTCATTGATCGGCTGCCTCCTGCACGCTCCCCACTGGGGTTCGAGCCCGCAACCTAGGCATGTGCCCCTGACGGAAATTGAACCCGGGACCCTTCAGTCTACCGGCTAGGGCACCCATATAGCTTTTGACTTTCCAAAAACTTAACCAGTATTTCAAAAGTCACACAGGAGTATGATCTTGTCAAATCAGTATGGTCATATTGGATAGCTCATGAGAAAATATTATTAACCTAAAAGAGTACAGTTTGTTAAGACTAAATCTCTAAGGCCTGAATGGGAAAGAAAAAAGCAAGGGGAGAGGAGGTTTCGACAGTAAAAGGACTGAGAGCCTAACACCAGCCTAACTGGTTCCCCATCCGTACCACCCTGCACCCAGTCTGGTTCCCCATCACATACCCAGATCTTTGACGATAGTTGCCAGGGGCAGCCGCACCAGAGGGTGAATCTTCAGTGGAGTCTTGGCGGCCTTCGGGAGTCGGATGGAGCCTGGAGAAAAGGTGAAGGGGCTTATCTCTTCAGGCCTCTTCTGGGGCAGGAGCCATGTCTACATCTTCACAAACCCCTGTGCCTACTATCCCCACTGTCACTGAACACCCAGACACACTGGCCTCTGGCCAGGCAACCCCAACCGCCACCAGCTCAGCACTCCTGCTTACACTCTGCCTTGATGGCATTGGCATTGATAGGGGCATAGGGTCGCCGAGCAGCCCTCCTCGGCTGTAACAGGTCCCTGCACATGCGTCTGGCAAGACGGGTCAGCTTCGTGGTCTGGAGCAGGAATGTTTGCCTGTTCTTAGCCAGCAGCTTGGCCCGATTGGCGCTGGTCGTATAGGGGGAGAGACTTTGGGCTTCAGGTCTGGACAAATGACCCCTCGAGTGTGGCTCCTGGAAGGACATAGGAAAAAAGGAAAACGCAGATGGATACTGAGGCTCCCTTTCTGCCATTCTCCGAAGAGAGCTATTTAGTCCTGACTGATCTCTACCACCATCCTGACCTCCTGGCTCCTACACCACCTTGCCCCTCCCTCCCCAACACATCAAGCCATCCCCACATATGGAGTTGGGTGTTCTGGCCTTCACCTAAGTTCACACCAGTATGCTACTGTTCTCCCCTTCCTGCCCCCCATCAGTCCTTACTGTTGTGCCCCGAGCAGCCCCCTCAAGCTGGGTCGGCGTCTTCAGTCCCCCATACTTCTTCCAGTAGATCCAGCAGGAAGCACAGAGGCGGCACTGCATGTTGGGTGGGCCCCAGGCGTACCACTGGGCAGACTGTGTGGCTGAAAGAGCGGAGAGGAGGTGGAGGTCGGCGG